TATAGGATTTATTTGCCTGTCTGTCTTCACACACGTTTTAAACATGATGGCAGCCCTCCCTTTGCAGCTATAACAGCTTTAACTCTTCTGGTTTCCACAAGGCTTAGGAGTGTTCATGGGAATCTTTGGCGATTCCTAGAGAAATGCATTTGTGAGGTCAGACACTGATGTTGGAGGTGAAGGCCTGACTCACAGTCTCTGCTCTAATTCATCCCAAAGCTGTTCTATCGGGTTAAGGTCAGGACTCTGTGCAGGCCAGTCAAGTTCTTCCACACCAAATGTGCTCATCCATGTCTTTACAGACCTCGCTTTGTGTACTGGTGTGCAGTCATGTCGGAACAGGAAGGGGCCATCCCCAAACTGTTCCCACAAAGTTGGGAGCATGAACTTGTCCAGTATGTCTTGCTGAACCATGAAGAGTTCATTTCACTGCAACGTTTGTCCAAATTAGGATGCTGCAAAGTGGAGAAGAAGAAGAAAAAAGAGGAAAGGCCTTTGTGAAGCATTAGCTGTTTGTCAAAGAAAACCAACTTTTTAAGACAAACGTTTCAAAATTACTCCATGACAAATATACCGTACTTTATATATAGTGACAAACAGGCAACATCATCTCCTCTCACCGTCCCAGGCCTGCCAAGGTGATCCCAGGGCGGCTGTGGGAGCGGCGGGTTAATAATGACAACGACATCCTAATAATGGTTCCCAGTAACTCCTGTGTCAGTGGGGAGTGTATTAAATGGGACACCAGAGCAGCCTGACTCACAAGGACCCCCTACTTTTCTCTAATGAGAGTTTGATGGAGTGGTTGTGTAGGTAGATAATGCTAAGTTAATGAGATGTCCTATTCCATGAGACTGTTTGCAGTTCCCTGCAGAGTTACTGTGTGTTCGTTACCTCTGTTGATGTATATGCTGTCTTCTTTAGTGTGTGCAGCCGCTTACCTGTTTTTTGTGAACAATCTGTTTATTTCTAGTTTACTGCTGTGTGTGTGTGTGTGTGTGTGTGTGTGTGTGTGTGTGCTCATGAGCTTTTCTTTTTTTTTTTGTAGGTTCTTTGTCTTTAAATGTGCTGGTGCATTTTCAAATTTTTATCCAGCTTCATTCTCGCACGCAACAGGAAATTAACTGTCCACATTTCAGAACCAGTGACAGAGCAAAACCGGCGCTATACAGAGGAAGCTTAAAAAAACAAACCACAACAAAAAAAGAAAGTAATTAAAAAACAGAGAGAGAGAAAAGAGAAGCAGACATTAGTTTCATAGCAATAGGGAAACGATGGGGGGATGTTTGGTGATGAACAACGCATAAGGTGATGGGAAAGGTAGACGTCTCTAATTGGGAGTCCCACCCCTGTTCTGTGCCACCCTCTTTCTTTTTCTTTCCATCTTTTCTCAGACAATACAGTGAGAAGAAGAAGCTTTCCTAATTAATGCAGATATAATGATGGGTCCAACTGAGACCTCTGCCCCCTCAGATGTTGATTAAGTGCGCTTTGTGTGTGTGTGTGTGTGTGTGTGTGTGTGTGTGTGTTGTTGTGTGTGTGTGTGTTTGTGTGTGTGTGTGTGTGTGTGTGTGTGTGGTGTGTGTGAGTGTAGGGTGGTGAGAGTGTGTGTGTGAATCTAGCAAACAGCTCGGCCGACTAAACCTGGGATTTCGATAATCATATATTTATGTGTAATATAATTATATGTCTACTGATGCATAGAAGATGAACAGCGCTGATATTTCTTTTCTGAAGATGCTGATTTTTATATGGTTATCGCTGAGGTAATTGCTAGTCTGCTTTTGGCTCCTGCATAATGTGGGAGTGCTTAGAAAATCAAAATCAAAATAGTTCCAAGTATAAAAAAAAATAAAAAAAATCTGTAGGGGAGAAAAAAGATGCTGCAGCAGCGCCCACACTGTTTCTGTGGCAAGTGATCTCTAGGAAGAGAGGTGGAAAAACATTACAGCAGCAGGGGCTTAGCATCCGCGATATCGCCGAAAGAAAAATAAAAATAAAACACGGATGTTGCAGATGACAGCTTTTAAACTTCCCAAAACAGCTCAAAGATCAGTGTGAAACTCTGCCAGTGTTGCTTAAAGGGGAACGCTACACATTTTGCACATCAGGCTCAGTTTACCCGCCACGGCTCCAGCTGCTCTGCCTCTGAATACTGCAGTGTAATGCCTTCCATGACTTTTGTCGAGTCAAGGAGATAATGGGCTCTGCCCTACAGATCCTTCATAGCCACACAAGTGTTTCCACTTATTCTGGTCGATTAGACCCCTGCTCCGCTTAGGCTGAATAGAACAACACTGAAGTTGCACGAGGTCACTCCTTTTCTTGACCTAATATAAATGACAAACATGGAATTTGTTCCAAGCTACAGGTGTGACAAATTACTGGTCCTTGAGAAGAGGTCGAGTCAGCCAAAAATCACTATTACAGATGGTGCTGAGTTTCACAGATGAAAGCGGTTTACCAAGCAGTAGTAAAACAATCCTACGTAAATTAATTCAGTTCACTTCACCTCAGGTTTATTTATGTAGTGCCAAATCCCAACAACTGTCGCTTCAAGGTCCTTTACACTGCAAGTTAAAGACCCTGCAGCATTCAGTAGCTGTGAGCAACAACTAGGTGATGGTGAGAAGGAAAAACTCCCTTTTAACAGGAAGAAACCTCCACCAGAACCAGGTTTAGGGAGTTGCGGTCTTCTGGTGTGATCGGTTAAGGCACAGGTGTCAAACTCCAGGCCTCGAGGGCCGGTATCCTGCAGGTTTTAGATGTGTCCTTGATCCAACACAGCTGATTTAAATGGCTAAATGACCTGCTCAACATGTCTTGAAGTTCTCCAGGGGGCTGGTAATGAACTAATCATTTGATTCAGGTGTGTTGACCCACGGTGATATCTAAAACCTGCAGGACACCAGCCCTCGAGGCCTGGAGTTCAACACCCCTGGGTTAAGGTGTGAGGGGAAAGAGGAAAGAATAAAGGATGTGTATGGAGATAAAACATAGAATGTGGGAGAAGGAAAAACCCCTGGGGAGTGAAATGAGGTGAGTCACAGGAAGTTCTGAGCCTGTAGCAGCATAATTATGGGATGGTTCAGGGTCACCTGATCCAGCCCCAACTGTAAGCTTTATCAAAAAACTGAATATTTTAAGTTTAATCTTAGTACTCTTTTATTAGTTTTATACAAGGTCCAATCTGAAATTCTGCACTTAAACAAATGCAAATCCTACTTGATTAAATGTGGCCGCTGGCACTTGTGCTATTTTTAGATTAGTCCCGTTCGGACCACATGTACATTCACATCTCCACTGAGAGCTGGATCAACCCCAGTGTGTCAGAGTAGCCACATTTTACCTTGAATTTCATGCTATACATGAGGAAGGTTGTCCCTCAGTTGCATCAGTATGTTACAGCACAAGTCAGTGTTGACAGTCTGACTCTGGGGAGTTGAAACGCTCATTTGGATCACTCCTCAGTATACTGCACCATTGAAGGCCCAGTAGGATGTGTTTGCTACTGATTGGATCGCTAAATTTTAACAGAGCTAATGTGAGAGTCCTGTCCAGAGACTGAATTAGTGGTGAAGGCAGGTTACGTAGACAAAAGCTGCAATATTCTGATTAAAGAGTGGCATGTTTATGTGCTAGGAATTAGCATAGCAGTGCTTATCGAGGCCATCTGTGTGTGCTGTAGGAAACCGGCTTTATGGCTGTTTAGAATGATAAAGCTCATAAAAAACAAAAAAATGTTACACGAGCACAAAGAAATATCAATCGAGTTGAGTTTAAATGTCATGTTAAAGTAGGTAAACCTATGAGTTTACGACCTCGTGAGTACAAACTGTGCACATCAAAAGAAAATGATTTGATTTGGCGTCTCTATTTTCATCTTTCACAGTAAAACTCGAGCAATGTGAATATCTGACCTGCTTTTGGCAGCAGTCACCCACACAGGTACAAGTGAAGCGGGTAGATTAGCTAAAAAACAACTCTAATTGGTTTGCAGGATGGTGCCAGGCCAATGTGGCATCCCTGTCCAGGTTTCCACTTGGCCAGGCCAGCGGGTTACCATTCAGGCCACGTATCTGCCTGTAGCAGTAATGAGAAGTGCCTCGCTGTTAATGAGATAAACACAGACATTAGATTGGCTCAGCGGGAGCTCAGAGGGGAGGAGAGGGTGAGAGAGAAAAAGAGAAGCGGGTTGGCGGGTGAGACGGAGGCGGCGAGAGAAAGAGAGCGAAAAAGAGCGAGGGAGAGGGTGGCGGGCTCGGCGAGAACGACGATGTGAAAGAGAGGTGGAAGAATATGAAATATTTAGAGCAAAAGGCTCAGTTAATTTCTTGAAAGCGCGAAGACGAGATTCATTGTAAGTCGAAGAGAGGTGGCGACGAGTATGTTCTGCCTGCGAAAACGAGAGAATAAGACTGCAGAATGATAATGATGATGATGGTCGTAATGGCAGAGTTGATAAGGAAAGGATAACACACTGCTGCGGTGTAACAGCTATTTTATTGAACAAAATGTTAAAATATTCATACTCCATATGCTACATGACAGCTCTGCGCCTTTTTTTTCTCTGCATTTGCCCACACACACACACACACACACACACACACACACACACACACACACACACACACAAAGTGAGGATTGTCAGTTCCTGCTGTGACATTATAACTGTATCTATCATTAAGCAGTCTTTTTCCAGGCACAGCCGCTAATGAACGCACAGGAGTTACAATGAGTTTGTCTAGCAGATTTGGAAAGCTGATGCAAAGTGAAGTGTGTGTGTGTGTGTGTGTGTGGTGTTTTCATGTTGTGTGAGCCGGAGAGCCTCTTTCATCAACTCGTGCATGCTCTGTTGACTGAGTGAAGTGTGTTGTTTCATCATTAAAGTCTCCAAAAGGATACTAAAGCCCATAAACCGTCCTTTCAGAATAAGAGCACCACGGTTTTATCTGCCTGAGGCTTTGAGATGATCAAATTCACCCTCTTGTCGTTTCCAGGTTTGGCAAGAAGAAGGAAGACAAGAGCAAAGATGCAGCAAAAGCTTCAAAGAGCAAACTGGAGGCACTGAGTGAGGAGGAGCTGGACAGGATCCCCGATGACAGAGATGGGTATGAATCACAAAAAACCCCAACAACAACCAAAAAATTGACATTCTGTGTGTTGTTGTTTTATTATTATTTCACAGTCGAGGGTGTGATAACAGAGCAGCTTACAACATGTACAGTAGAATAATAATAGACCAGCATTTGTCACAGTAGTAAAGTGCTGCGATTGGCATCTTACCTGACAGCTCTGATGCGCCCACCTGCTCCTCCATAACAACTGCTCAGCCGAATGTCTGTCACAGAAGAAGAATCACAGGGAAAATGTGTAAAACGTGTATTTTTGCCGCGCCTGTGCTCCTGTGTAACGCCTCTCCTCCTTGCTTACAGCTTCGACCCGCGTTACGCCGAGGTCCAATCCGGCCCCGCCACCCCTGACCCGTCCTCCCTCCCTGACGTGGAGGACGATGACAGCGACCCAAACTACGCTCGCATCAACAACTTCCGCCAGCCGCCCTCACCGCAGTCGTACATCAGCAGTACGCCCTCCCCCGCAGTACCAGCCGGGGTGTCCGGCCCGCAGCAAGCGCCCTTCGAGGACATCGACGGGCTCTACGCCAAGGTGAACAAGTCCAGAGCTCCGCCTGCTTCACAGACCCAGCAGCAGAATCAGGCAGACAGGTGAGAGAGGGACACGGTGGAAAAGTGCTAGATTTAAATAAAATGTTCTCTTAATTTGAGCTCGCAAGTACGATATTACACATCTCTGTGTTGTAAATGCATGTTTGGCATTTGCACCTGTGCTTCTGCACCGAGTTGCGATTTCAGTGCACAGGTGGAGTCACACAAGGTCACTGGCCATGGTTTGATTGGCGTAAGTGAGAGAATATATACACAAATCTACATTCACGATCTGCTAAACTGAGACATGCATAAAACATGAAGGCATGGTTACACAGTAACAGCATGCATTTCATTCTCTGTTGTCTTTTCTATAGATTTGACCTTTCATAATCTTTAAAACGTATGCAATATCATTTTTCTGTGACTGTTAGGACAGCTGGCTACAATCAATTGATACGTCACCTTTTACTGCCACGGATGGTTTCAACATATTTTCCTTCTAAAATGTTTGATAAGAGTTAAATGGGTGTCAAGATTATGCTACTCTTGCTCCCAGCCACGCTCTTATCTGTTTGGGAACTTGCTGGTTAGCGTCTGGGGAGCAGCTGCCAGTATCTTGGGGGCTTCTGTGAAGCCAATGGACACCTGGGTCAAGATTTCAGTTTTCCCCCCACTGGCAGCTGTTTTTAGTAACACTTTATAATACGACAAAGGGCGTAATTCCTCGGTAATTCAGTGTACACAATGTAATTATATTTACTTACAAATTCTTAAAAGGTAGATACACTAGAATAAAGCAAAAACAAGTCACATGTTTACAGGAAACAAAAAAATGATGATAATTCAAGTAGTGATTAATTAATTTGAAGTAGTGCCTAAATTCTGGGTTTTCTACCAGAAAAGATTTCTTGGTAATTTTCCATAAAAACAGCTGTTTTCCAGGAAAGTAATATTAATAATAATGGATTGCATTTATATAGCGCTTTTCGGGGCCCTCAAAGCGCGTTACAATTCCACTATTCATTCACTCTCACATTCACACACTGGTGGAGGCAGCTACATTGTAGCCACAGCTGCCCTGGGGCGCACTGACAGAAGCGAGGCTGCCATATCGCGCCATCGGCCCCTCTGGCCAACACCAGTAGGCGGCAGGTGAAGTGTCCTGTCCAAGGACACAACAAGCGAGACTGTCCGAACCAGCTCGAACCGGCAACCTTCCGATTACAAGACGAACTCCCAACTCTTGAGCCACGATCGCCCGTCGGTATCACATTTATATTGATAAAATGGAATAATTGAATATCCATCATACACATCAACATAACAAATATTAAACAAATATGCTTTTTAAAACCCTGAAACCTAAAAAAAACACCCTCAGTGACCTTCATTCACCCCATATTACACCACTTGCCCCAAAAAGTACAGCATATAATGTAAGATGGGAAAATATCTTTTGGTTTTCTGCTAAATTACTTAAAGTTACTTTCAGTGTAATCATTTCTTTTTCATGCCCTTAGTTGTTGGCTTTATTTTAAAGTGTTACACTGTTTCCCTATTCCTGTTTTCAGCTGCTGCGCTAAAAGGAGGCAAATAATGCCACAGTGGTTCATCTCCCTTCTAATCCTATCCCTTGCTTCCTCTGCTCCGGGTTTTCTTCAGCCAACGCTAGCACAGTTTCCACTGGTACCCTCCAGCTCAACAGCATCGATCGCAGTCATTGTTAACCCAGACCCCAACTAATACAGTATAGCAATCTTACTCACGATCCACATGTTTTGTAAAGATTTAATGCCGGATGCTCTTCCTGACTCTACCCTCTCCATTTATCTGGGCTTGGAATTTGCACTAGGAGTACACTGGCTTGGGAACCAGAAAGCTTATGGTACCAAAAATCATGTCTCTTGTCTAAAAATTCAACATTATTCATATTTAGAAAGATTACATGCCTAGTGATGCGCACAAACACAGGGTCCAGGTGCAGCGGTACACTTCCCTGAAAGCATAAGGTTGCCTCTTCTGAGCCCTCTATTCAATTTAATGTTATTTCAATTTCAAGTCACCAGCTGTATCCTTGTCTGTTCATGCTTGGCACTAAAATCATGCAATCTGGATCGGACACCTCTTGACATACATGCAAAACAAATACAACCAGAATTACTTGAGACAGTTTGAGGAGGCCATGGGTGCCATATGATGAATACTGTGATAATTCAAACACTACGTGTTTTTTCTTTCTTTCTTTAAACCATGTGAGGTTGACACCAGTAATGCACTGTACTTCTACTTGAAGCGTTAACTATAGGTCATAATAACAGCTTGAACATTTGATCTACAGTCTCTTGAGATCACCAAAATAAAGTCAATCTCTATAGACTCGCATGTTAAAATGTCCATCTTTACAGTGGGGAAAAAAAGGCATGCTTACAAAAACTGTTTAACCTTGATGAATGCTTAAAGTCAGATTTATGTGGACACGAGGCGGCTGTAGCTGGTAGCTGTCTGCTGGGGCTTCACCTCTGTTAATTTGAGTCGCTGCACTGGACTTCTCGACGACGTGCCGTTTTTTCGGGGGGATTTTTAATGCAATTGTCTGGCATATAATATGGCTAACTCTGCTTTTAATTTTATTACCAGGCCATCCAAGAAGTTAGTGCTCCCATACAGCCTATGGATGCACCTTGCATTAGCTACCACTCAACATTCTTATCCAATTGTGGTCAGATTTGGCACCAAAAATCCAAATTGGCTTGCCAAAATGCTAACACCGAGCCTTCAGAGTCGGGCTTCACAAACCAATGGCTCACGTCTCATTAGGTCTATCTAATATCTATCTCATACACTTCTACATGAGTTCAGTCAAGTTTGCCCATTAAAACCTGCCTGTCTGAGATGCTAAGCATCACTCTAAGCTCACAGTCATTGAATTTTATATTATTGCAGTGCTGGAGCTTGGTTTATGTGCCAATCCAATTGATATCCTAAAACATTTTATTTTTCCAACATGAATGGATCTATATCTATGCGCAAAAATAGGAATTGTGCAAGCCGCAGTGTTTTGAGAGGCATTTAAAGTAGTTTAATAATAAAATGTACTTTAATTTGAGTAAAACGTGTCCTTTGCTGTAATATTTGGATGTCAGAGCCCCTCATTGTTTGTCTAACAAAGGGCCCATGCTTTCAGAAATGCACTGCTTATCAATGTTGTCATTCGTTCCATATTATATATTATTACCGCTGCAGTTTTGAGAACCGTAACTTTCAGCTGCTTTTTGTATTTGAGAGAGGAAAAAAAGGAGAAACTCTAAAGAGGATTCTAATGCAAATTTATCATTTCCCGTATGAAATAATACAGGCCATATTAAAAACTTCCCTCAACTTAAACTCTCTGACAGAAAATTACGATTGACTTGCAAATCAAAAACTAAGCCCCAGACACCCAATCTCATCCAGGGAAGAAAAAAAGAGAGAGAAAGAGAAAGGGATTGGACATGGAAGTGGAGACAGATGGGAAATGGGAAGAAGGGACAGACGGAGGGAGAGAGAGACGAGAAAAAGCAGGGAAAGAGGGGAGAAAACGACGGAGCCAAAGTGGAGAGGAAAACACGCCGGGCAGAGTAAATTCGAGAGAGAAGAAGTGACAGAGGAGAGGATGCAGACAAAAGAGGAGGAGGGATAATTAGCCACAGTCTAGCAGCCTGACAGATCTGTTAGACCACTTTAGCTCTTATCCACTAGTGGTGGGTACTTCATTACCAGCCTGTTTTCTCCCTCTACTCTTTCTCCCTCAGTTTCTCTCACACTCGGTGTGTCACATATCCATTCTCGCTCCTCTGTTTTACTCCTAATGTATATTAGACTTTAGCATTAACATGATGGATGAGAGGAGTCTTCTTTGGCTTGTTAACTCTGTGTGAGAGGGTGTCTGTAGAGACAAAAGGATACAAATAAATGTCTAATAATGTAGTTAGAGGACAGCCATACTGCACATGTTCATAATAATTCAATTAATTCATCTCCATCCTACAAGGTAAACCCCTCGTTCATTTTTTCGCCTTATTTATTGTATTAGTGATCAGTAATAATGAGACAATGTTGGCAAGCTGTCGTATGTCATTGTACTATTAGGAAGTCAATCAGAATATCAAAATAAAGAATGAACTTAATAACAAGTACGGGATGAGGACTACTGGAAGTCTGGCTGCTACTCGTCTGCCCGCTGTCATAGTGCTTCATTTTTCTCATTTATGTGACAGATAGTGACCAACAATGGCCGTTCCAGGCAATAAGGAGGATGGGAGCGGGAATGACATGCGACACAGGTCGATGGCCATCATTAATTTAGCCTATGAAATGTAAATCATCTGCAGATACATTCACTCTTTGCTCCTGTTTGAGTAACTGCAGGGCTGCATGTCAAAGTTGAAGCTACAGTATATTTAAAGCTATCTATGATACTTTGTGTGTGATGACACCCTCATCACGTTGACATCAGTGCATGATTAGAACTGCGATAAAAACTTTTAGCGTGAAATGCCCGCTTCCACTTCAATATGTGTCACAGGGGTTATCTGATTAATTTTTTAAAGTCGCTCCTTTATGGGGGGAAAAGGGCTCGGTTTGTTTGTTTTACACACGGGACCAATAAGGAGTGTTTCCTTATTTTAACCCAGACATCACACAGAACATACAGTAAAAACAACAGACTGACTTCTCAAAAATCACAAAACACCAGCTTTGTTTTACAAAGCCCTGCTAGAGAAGCTATTACAGCCTCAAATGTTTATATAATGCAACTTTATGGTTACGTCTCTACTGTCATGATGACCGTCTGTCATCCAAGAGTGCAAAGACGGCTCACTCTCCGGGCTTTTAAGGGAACAGTATTGTTCTTTTTAAAAGTACATTGAGAAGTTCACAGTGCAGTAAAAAGCAAGTGTGAAGTGCAGGCTTTCGTTATTAGCTCTGTTGAAACCCATATTTTTTTAGTTAAATGAATTTAATAACTTTTATTTCATTGTTTAATACGTTTAAAAAAAAAAAAAAAACGTTTAGTG